AAACACAAAAGACGCCGAATAGCCAAAGCAATATTGAGAAAGAAAAATGGAGCTGGAGGAATCAGGCTCCCTGACTTCTACAAAGCTACAGTAATCAAGACAGTATGGTACTGGCACAGAAACAGAAGTATAGATCAACGGAACAGGATAGAAAGCCCAGAGATAAACCCACGCACATATGGTCCCCTTATCTTTGATAAAGGAGGCAAGAATATACAGTGGAGAAAAGACAGCCTCTTCAATAAGTGGTGCTAGGAAAACTGGACAGCTACATGTAAAAGAATGAAATTAGAACACTCCCTAACACCATACACAAAAATAAACTCAAAATAGATTAAAGACCTAAATGTAAGGCCAGACACCATCAAACTCTTAGAGGAAAACATAGGCAGAACACTCTATGACATAAATCACAGCAAGATCCTTTTTGACCCACCTCCTAGAGAAATGGAAATAAAAACAAAAATAAACAAATGGGACCTAATGAAACTTAAAAGCTTTTGCACAGGAAAGGAAACCATAAACAAGACGAAAAGACAACCCTCAGAATGGGAGAAAATATTTGCAAATGAAGCAACTGACAAAGGATTAATCTCCAAAATTTATAAGCAGCTCATGCAGCTCAATATCAAAAAAACAAACAACCCAGTCCAAAAATGGGCAGAAGACCTAAATAGACATTTCTCCAAAAAAGATATACAGATTGCCAACAAACATATGAAAGAATGCTCAAAATCATTAATTATTAGACAAATGCAAATCAAAACTACAATGAGGTATCATCTCACACCAGTCACAGTGGCCATCACCAAAAAAATCTACAAACAATAAATACTGGAGAGGGTGTGGAGAAAAGGGAACCCTCCTGCACCGTTGGTGGGAATGTAAATTGATACCATGGAAGCAACCTAAGGGTCCATCAACAGATGAAAGGATAAAGAAGATGTGGCTCATATATACAATGGAATATTACTCAGCCATAAAAAGGAACAAAACTGAGTTATCTGTAGTGAGGTGGATGGACCTAGAGTCTGTCATACAGAGTGAAGTAAGTCAGAAAGAGAAAAACAAATACTGTATGCGAACACATATATATGGAATCTAAAAAAAAAAAAAGTCATGAAGAACCTAGGGGCAAGATGGGAGTAAAGATTCAGACCTACTAGAGAATGGACTTGAGGATACGGGGAGGGAGAAGGGTAAGCTGGGACAAGTGAGAGAGTGGCATGGACATATATACACTACCAAACGTAAAATAGATAGCTAGTGGGAAGCAGCCGCATAGCACAGGGAGATCAGCTCGGTGCTTTGTGACTGCCTAGAGGGGTGGGATAGGGAGGGTGGGAGGGAGGGAGATGCAAGAGGGAAGAGATATGGGAACATATGTATATGTATAACTGATTCACTTTGTTATAAAGCAGAAACTAATAACCATTGTAAAGCAATTATACTCCAATAAAAATGTTAAAAAAAAAAAAGAATCCACCTGCCAGTGTAGGGGACACAGGTTCAATTCCTGGTCCAGGAAGATCCCACATGCCATGAAGCAACTAACCTCATGTGCCACAACTACTGAGCCTGCGTGCCACAACTACTGAAGCCCATGTGCCTAGAGCCCGTGCTCCACAACAAGAGAAGCCACTGCAATGAGAAGCCTGCACACCGCAAGGAAGAGTAGCCCCTGCTCACCACAACTAGAGAAAGCCCATGAGCAGCAACAAAGACCCAACACAGCCAAAGATAAATGAATAAAAATCTACTTAAGATGAAGAAGCCTAGCTTGTTCTAAGGACACAACGATTTCCCAGACAAGATGACGGTGATACAGAGATTCCAGACAGTCCTTGGAACATATCCTGCTGGAATAACAGCAGATATCACCCCGGGTCGCTTAATGAGTCAGGGCGAGAGCTCTGTGACCCCAACTATGTAGGGTCTGTGAGCCCCTTGACAGCCTGAAGAAGCTACAGAAGACAGACCTTTGCCCTTCGTCCTCCCAATAGATTTCTCGGGGTTCATGTCTCTCGGGGGGGATTTGAGGCAGGAGATAGATGGGCCCCAGGCCAAACAGCTGAAGTTTGTCCCCTGTGGACAAAAACTCCATAATAGCAGAAACTCCATAAAAGCAGGATGATGGGGGAGGCTGGGCCCTGCCCAGATAAGAGATAAAAGACCACATATTCCTCATTCTCGAAGTCAAGGAGACCTCCTTGACTACAAATGCGCAGAAAGGCTCCTTGAAGGTCAAAAAGCGAGGGGGTGCCAACTCATAGTAAGTGATGTCAACTACCCATAGGCCTCTTTGCTAGAATCCATCTTGGCTAAGAGATGTGCAAGCACATAGGGGAGGACCCTGAGATACATCAAATACAGACTCAGAACCAGGCAAAGCAAGATGACTGGTCAAAGGAAACCTGGAAGAAATGCCCCATAAAAGTGATTCAAACTACCACAAGGGCATGACTCTCTCTCTGAGCCCACCCGGGTGTCTATCCACACATACCGTACTCTTTTTTTTCTCCTAATAAACACTTTACTTGTTTCACTACTTTCCATCTTTGTGGGAATTCTTTTCTGCAAAGCCAAAGGCCAGGGCCTTGTCACTGACCACTGTTCTAGTGGCTAGGATTTGGTGCTCTCACCGCTGCGACCCGACCTCAGTCTGGCTGGGAACCAAAATCCTGCTTCAAGCCTCTGCAGGCCGAGGCCACCCGAGATCAGTATGAGGGTGTGGAGCACAAGGCCAGGCCAAGCCAGACTCTAATTTCTCCACTTAAAGGACAGAGTCCACTTGCCTGGCCTGGGACTTGAGCCCGGTCTCACTGGGCCCCAACCTACCACATCCCCAGGACTGCTTCAGCCAACTAGGCAGTGAGACACTCAGGTGTATCTGTGCACAGTCTTCCCAAGACAGACAGTGCCCAATAAGTTCCAAGGATTCAAAGGTCCTGGGGGTGCCTGTACCCAACAGCCCAGGCCCCAACAGGCCACACACTGCAGCCCACATCTGTCCCCATCCTCCCTGCCGGGAAGTCATCCCAGCTCTTGCAAAATTCTCAAGGCCAATAAGCCTGGAGCAGAACCAGAGCTGATGAGAACTAGCTAAGAAAGCAGATTTGATGATGGGGCCAGGTGGGGAGTGGGGGTGGGAATAGAGAACAGACTGTAGTCTGAAAAACCTATTGGATTAGAGCTTCAAATTCCCAAATCTGACATAAAGCAGACTTTGTTGCTCTCCCACTGGTTGACTGAGGGTGACCGATGATGAGCTGGGAGGTGAGGTCAGGCTGTGCTCCTCCAGCACCAAGTGGTTCCACGCACACCACACAGCTCGGGGCTCCTGTAGTTCTCCAGCTGCACTGAGCCCCAGAAGGTGGGCGCCAGGACTGTGTTACTTCTTCATCCCCACTGTGCCTGACACAGTGCCTCATACAGAGGAGAGGGTCAGATCAGTGAATGCTACTAAAAATAAATGTACTATCCCGCCTCTGAGATCGGAATCTTGCGTAACTGGAAGGAAAGGAAGGAAGACGAGGGAAGGAAAGTGCCCACTATAAGAGATGTCAAGATAAAATCCTTCCAAAGGACACCTATGCATGTACTCAAATCCCAGCACCAACTACAGTCCTGAGAATCTCAGTACAACTGGCGGCGACTCACTTGTGCAGACCCCTCTGGAGATCCAGAGAAGATATTGTCTGTGTTTTTAGTACTTGATATCAGTCCTACTGTGTCTCAACTCTACTAATGCCAGCTGCAGGCAAACTCCTGAAGGTTCTGCTTCCTCCACACTTTCCAGAGCTGTGAACCCAGACAGGAAAAGGACCTGAGCTTTCTTTTCCATACAGGAAAGGGAGAGCCACTGACTGCTGCCCATAGAAGCCAGATGCTCTGACTGGGAGCCCAGCACAGCCTGTACTGGCTCTGTGACCTTCAGAAATTACTTATCCTTTCAGCTTAATTCCTTATCTGTAAAATGAAGAGGATAATTCTTTTACCACGGAGGAATGTTATAAAGATTAAATTTGACACAATATATGTTAGATGCTGAGCAGAGATTCTGGCATAAACCAAGTCCTCATTAAATGTTACTCTTCATTTGGGTTCCAACTAGGAAAGCATCAGTGAAGACAGGGAAGAGAAGAGAGATATAAATACTAGAGGGATCAGGAGAATCACCTCAAAACGGGAAATGAAGTCTTTCAGGTTTGGGAATTCATCCAGGCACTTAGGCTCAAATATGCAGCGCATGTCAAGGATGTCGTAAGCCAGGAAATCCACATAGGTGAGCTGCACAAAGGCAAAGCATGAATGGGCACCAAACTCTGAACGTGGGAAAAATGACAGCTCTCCATCCCCCAAAGCCGTCCCCCTTACCTTGTCCCCTGCAAACCAGGGCCTCTTCCGCAGAAAATCTGAGAAGAGCTTCATCGTTTTAGGGATCTCCTTCAAGTAATCAGGCTTTAGTTTCTCCTGAGGCACAAAACAGCTGTCACTGCCCTCAGATACAGACTCCCTGGGCAGAGACCAGGCCTCCCAGGGCTGTGCCTGATCCCAGCTGCCAAAGTACACCTGGGTCAGTGCCCAGGCTGTGATTTAACCCACTTGTGTTCATTAGACTCCTACCAGGTACCACCTCCCATCTGTGAGAGGAGATGGGAAGGCAAAGGGCAAAACCACACTGTGCCTGAACCTGTCACCACTCAGCTCCAAACACCTGCCATGGGTCAGACCAGCAGTGCTGTGAGACCTGTCAGAGCGCGGGCCTCAGACTTCAGGAAGATCAACACTCAAATGACTCAGGAAAGAAGTCCTAAGTTCCAGCGTGGGTGACAGAAAGGGTGTGAATGCCAATGCAGTCTCTGAACAGATGAGGAGAATCTTAGAGGCTGAAAGGAAGGAGAGAGAGGAACAAAGTCTGACCCCAGGCTGCCTGCTGGGCACATGTGTTTACGCCTGAGATGCCGAGGAGGAGGTGCTGGGCTAACGAGGAAAACACCCTGTCTAGGAACTGAATTTCCACCCAAGGGTGTCTGGACTCTATCCTAAGATTGGCGGGAACTAAGTCAGAGTTTCCAAGGGAATGTCTTGGTGGATCAGTAGCTCCAAGGAGTTCAAAGGCAAAAGACCAGTGTAGACGCGACCCTGACCAGCATTTCAAACCCTGTCCAGCCCAGTGGGAGGGGACTCACAAAGTCAGAGCTGTAGCAGGTCATGGCCATGCACAAGCGGACATCCATAACCTGGTTCTCTAATACGTCCACGCGAACCTTCTCTTCCTCTGTCTCCCCACCTGTGGCCACACAACAGGGACTCACCCTCAGGATCCCGCCCCAGACAAGCCCAGGGCATGGCCACCTGTGCCCCTCCCCCACCCACAGCTCCACTCACACATGTTGTGCTTGCGAGCAATGCAGCAAAGGATGGCGTTGCTCTGGGTGAGCTTGTGAGCCCCATCAATTAAGTAGGGCAGCTGGAGGAACAACAGGCCAGGTCGGTTGGGCCACCAGGCTGCCCTGCACCCACTCCCTTGAGCAAGGACAGAGATGAAACCTGGCACTCACAGAGCCTGGCCCATGGTAGACACTAAATAATATACTGTAAAATGAAGGGATGAGCTGGGACATACAGCATTATGGAAAGGCAGTGAAGAGAACCAGGAAGCTGAGAGGCCGAGCAGAAGGCACCGGACCCTGAAACCTCTAAGCTGGGTAAGGAGATGGACAGGGACACCGTCCACTTTCCCCCAGAGCACCCCAGCCCCTGCACCTACATTGGGGAAGTCCAGGCCCAGCTTGGATTTTTCATTCAGCCACTGGCTTCTGTCATAGTTGGGAGCTGTGGTAAAGAAGATGCAGTGAAACAAACCGCCCCGGAGTCCAACCCTCCTTCCCGGGGGAACTACCAAGGAGTCAAAGACAAGAGCCCCTGAACAGGTGGATCTGGAATCTGAACCTCTAAATCTCGCATGGAGTTTTGGGGGAAAGCACAATTAGACGGCTCTGGAACCCACATGAGTAAGGCTTGCAAAGGGTTAGTGCAAGCAATAAAGGGAGCCCATGCCAATGGCTGATACAGGGGCCCGGCCATCGGCTCTCATGGCCGGCCTTGGAGGCCAGCTAGACCCTCAAAGAGTTCGGGAAGGGTTAGACCTCTCTCCGGCTGCTGGAGGGCAGCAGATAGAAATAACAGGGGCCAGGACATGGGTTGCTTGGTACCAAATCAGCATGAGTTGAGCAGAAGCCAGGACATGACAAGGATGCCATTACCGTCCCCCATTCGGGTACTTCTCCTCCTAGTTTGAGTCTGTGTACTCCAGAAGCAGGCGGATGGCGTGAGCCAGCTGGGAGAGATGGCCGGGACAGAGGACAGACATGAGGTTTAACCGCGCGATTTCCTGTGCTCCGGGTCCCCTCCCACACTCCCAACCCTCTCCCCGACCTGGGAAGGAGAGGCGGAGGGAAGGGGCGGGGCTGGGCTGCAGCGAGCCCCACAAACGAAGTTTCTGGCGAACCGGTCCCTAGCTGCGCAGCATTTCCCTGCCCGCCCTGGTGGACCCCCGCTCACCCCGCGGATGTCCCAGTAACCCAGGGTCATTGCCATGGTCAGGTTTCGCGGATCGGGGTACTCTCTCCGAACCGCTGTGGAAGTTCATCCGGGTGTCTACATCAAGCCTGGGTGTGGCCTGAGTGAGGCCACGCCCCATCTCGTCTCTCCGCCCCGCCCCCAACTACTACCCAATCTCCGAGGCCTCCTGCGACCCGGGGCACCCGGGGCACCCGGGGTCCTCAGCGCGGTATCTGCACCCAGAGCAGTGGAAATAGTCCGTGTACCCCTCCAGGCGCGGGGACTCGGGAGCCGAGCTCTGGGTGCCAGGACGCTGAGGGCAGCCTGGTTCCCGTCCCCAGTCAGATCTCAGCTAAATCGGGGGAGTTGGCAGTGCGCTCGGGGAACAAGCCTCAATCACTAGAGCACGAATCTTCCACCTCCCCTGCCCTCCCAGGAATCGCTCAGGCTTGCTCCTGGGCTGCCGAGTTCCCCCGGGCTCTGGGAGGCTCTGACTGCCAAGTTAAGTTCAAAGAGTCGTGTCCCTCATATCGAAACTTTAAACGAGCCACTAGCACAGGAAGATCAGGACTCCAAGCAATCCATCGTAACGCTCCCCCGACTCTTTATAATCCCTGACAGCAGCATATCTTCTAGAATAGACTATCAATGGGATACAAGAAACACCCACGACAAGGTGCAGAAAAAGTAAATGTGGTCAGTGCTTTCCTTTCAGGGACTATGGAGGACTCGTCCCTTCAGTCGTATACCTAAGAGAGATAATGACCAACTGTTAATTAATCGAGTAGCTTTATGGCCTAAATAGTGACTCTAAATTCAGAACCAGGCCCAGCAAAGAAGATATCCAGGTGCAGTCCAGAGATGTCCCGACAGCCAGCTGGATGACCCTCACGTTGACTGGGTTGACTGGGTCAGTGACCTGGATTGTGGTGGTCACAGAGGGATCTGAGGCGGGGGCGGCGGGAGAGGGCTGTCCTTTGAGCGGCTAGGAGCCTCTCCTGCTGCAAGGGGGCCGGAAGGGGGGACCAGCAAGGAGCCTGGAGGACTGGCACAGGACCACAGGCAGAGTGGGCCCAGCACACCTTGGCTGCCCAGGTCCACGGATTCCTGCCCTGATCCTTGGCTCCTGACCCACGTGTGGTTTTGTGTAGGAGAGGGTGGCTCAGGTGGCCTTTGATGACGCTCTGTGATACAACCTCCTCAAGAACAATGTCCTACCTGCCAACTGTCCTCTTTGAAGCTTGAACACTATTTCAGAATGAGCAGAATAGGACAAGGATGGTCTGGGTTCACTTTTCCCTTGTTTAAAGTATGTTACAAGGTAATGGATATATGAAAAGAGATGAGAAGAACTTTTAAAAGCAAATGGATTTTACAAGTTAAAATGCAAGGTTGGTACACTATAGAAAAATAAGTTTAAAATTAGCTAACACTTTACAAGGATAGAAAGTTATGAACCCAGTATTCAATGAAGGTTTCTGACCACCAAGATAGAATATGGAGTGGGGGTTTGAGGAAAGCAGATATATTCTATCTAATCCCTGTTAAATCATAGAGTCAGAGTCTGCACATCTCTGCTAAGTTGGGGAGCTGGGAGACTGTGTCACCAGAGACCAGCAGAGCTCAGTCCCCATGGCAGATGCTTCCAGCCATTCTGACCTTGCCGGACCTCAGGGCTCCAGGTTGAGGTCCATACTCAGGATGCAGCTCAGGGTCAGGTGGATTCCTAGTTAGGTTTGCCCACAGGGAGGCGATGGTGGCCATGCACACACAAAAGTGCGGGCCCTCAATAGTTATGTTTTTCACAATATAAAAAATTGTCATTCTGAGTTTTACACATCTTGAGCTTGGAAAAGAAACATGACCAGATTCCACTGAGAAAATGACTTTCTTAAACTAACATTAAACAGTCATAATATTTAAAATATGTAGAACAGATATTATTACATTAGCATTCATCCCTTCATTCTTTTTTTTTTTTTTAAGGCTGGAAAATACAAGGACAGATTTTAAAATATGGAAGAGATTTTAAGTGTTCAAACACTGAGAGGGACTAAGAGGGAGAGAGGTTGAAGGCAGGAGAAAGAGGCAGTGCCTGGTAGGACAAGGAACTGCAGACATAGGGACGGCCCAGAGCACAGGTGGCCCCTTCAGGAGGAAGAGGACAATTCTGCAGGAGGATGAGGAGGGCTGGCCGAGCAGGCTGTCAGATTCAGCCCCCAGGCCCAGGGGTCACACCCTTAGGTGAAGTGGGTGTGAGAAAGGCAGTAGCAGGCAGTGGGGACTCGGGAAACTGGAGAGTGGGCTGAAGGGCGTGAGGCAGCCAGTGGTTGCCTCGCTAAAATTCAGCGCCTATGTGGCCACATCTTCTGGATTTACATGTGCTCTCTCTTGACTGTAGCGTGTTGATAAGTTCTAATATTTTAGAGAACACTGTGCAGGACATCAAAACCTGTTGTGTCCAATATTCATTTGAGAATTTGGTCTCTAGTCTGACTCTGCACTGCATTCCATCCTTCCAGCTATACTGCTGACATTATGAACTCTCAAAGTAAATAAAAAATTCTGTATAAAATAGCCACAGAATACAAAACAACACACTAAATAAACACCAACAGTAGTATTAAAATGTGTCCTACCGTATACTAATTTTTTTAAAGGTTTTCAAAACATTGTCTGGGTAAACTTTGGTAATCCACGATGTAAATAATATTTTTTAATCTGAATAAAAAATAAAAATCATAATTTATTAGCTTCTGTGATAGTGGGATATAGAAAATACATTTTCTACATGTCTATAGTATTAAGAATAAATAAATACAAACCAAGGCTTCAAGAATTTAGAAAGCAATTAAATTTAAAATAAATAACATGTGGAATTCTATTTCTACATGTTTCAGTCCTGTTAGGTTTTGTGTTTCTCGGAACATATTTATTTTATTCAGATTATCCAATTTGTTGGCATATGGTTGTTTGTAGTATTCTGCTGCGATATTTTTACTTCTGTAGGATCAGTAGTCCTGTCCCATCTTTCATTTCTGATTTTAGTCATTTGCATCTTCTCCCTTTTTTCTTAGTCAGTCTAGCTAAAGGTGTGTCAATTTTGTTAAACATTTCAAAGAAATTTCCTGAACCTTTTCATTGATATTCTCTACTGTTTTTCTATTCCCTTTTTTATTTATCCCTGCCATAATCTTTATTATTTCCTTTCTTCTGCTAGATTTGGGCTTAATTCTTTCCCTTGTTCATTTCTAGCTGTAAATTTCCCCCTTACCAGTGCTTTTGCTGTGTTCCATTAGTGTTGGCATTCTGTGTTTTCATTTTCACTCATCTCTAAGTATTTTCTAATTTCCCCCGTGATTTCTTATTTGACTCATTATTTAAAATGTTTAATTTCCACAAATTTGTGGATTTTCCAGTTTCCTTCTGTTATTGATTTCTAACTTCATCCCATTGTGGCTGAAGTAGATAGTTGATATGATATCTATTTTTTTAATTCCTGATGCTTTATTTGTGTCCCCACATATCTTGGAGATTGTGCCATGTGCGCTTGAGAATAATGTGTACACTGTTGTTGGGTTGAATGTTCTAATATGTCTGCTGAATCCAGTTCATTTATCATGTTGTTTAAGTCCTCTATTTCCTTACTCTTCTTCTGTCTGGTTGTCCTGTCCATTATTGAAATCATGGTGGCATATGGTGTTTAAGTCTCCAACTATTATTGCAGAACTAGTTCTCTCTTCAATTCTGTCAGTTTTTGATCAGTTATTAGGTGTGTAAATGTTTATAATTTTTATATCTTCTTGCTTTATTGAACACTCTGTAATAGATAAGTTCTTATTTCTGTCTTATAACATTTTTTGATTTAAAGTCTACTTTGTCTGATATTAGTATAGCCCTGCTCTCTTTTGGTTACTGTTTGCTTGGAATATCTTTTTCCATCCTTTCACTTTCAACCTATCTAGGCCTTTGATCTAAAGTCTGACTCTTGTAGATCTCATGTAGTTCAATCATGTTTTTTTAAGGCATTCTGCTTATCTCTGCCTTTGATTAGAGAGGTTAATTCATTTACATTTAAATAAATTATTGATGAGAGACTTACTTCTATCATTTTGCTATTTGTCCTTTATTTGCCTTATAGTTTTTTCTCCCTCATTTCCTGCATGACTATCTTTTATGTGTAGTTGATGTTTTGTCATGAAACTTTTCATTTTCCTTCTCATTTTTATTTGTGTATATTCTATAGCTATTTTTCCTTGTAGTTACCATTGGGGATTATATTCAACATCCTATAATTACAACACTCTAATTTGAATATCTACCAGCTTAAGTCGAATAGCATTCAAATACTTTGCTCTTATACAGTTCTGTCCCCTCTCTTTGATTATTGATGTCACAAAATTACATCTTTATACATGTGAGTCAAAAAACATAGACTAATAATTATTTTCTAATGGACTAATCTCTTAAATTATATATAAAACAAAAAGAGAGTTATGAAACAAAGTTATAATAGTACTAGCTTTTATCATTACACGTGTATTTACCTTTTCCAGGAGTCTTTTTTTCTTCACATGGCTTCACATAACTCTCTAGTCTCTCTTCATTGCAACCTGAAGGACTCCTTTTAGCATTTCTTGTAGGGGAGGTCTAGTGATAAAAAAAACTCTCTCAGCTTTCACTTATCGGGGAATGTCTTAATTTCTACTTAATAGTTGAAGGACAGTTTTGTCAGATATAGGATTCTTGGCTGACAGGTTTTTCTTTCCTTTATCACTTTGAATATGTCAACCCACTGCTTCTGGCTTCCAAGGTTTCTAAGAGAAATCTGATAATAATCCTTTTGGAGAGCTCTTGTATGTGATGAGTTACTTCCTTCTTGTTGCTTTTAAGATCTCTCTTTGTCTTTGTCTTTCAATAGTCTGATTATAATGTGTCTTGGTGTGCATCTCTTTGAATTTATCCTACTTGGAATTCCCTCTTTCTTCTTCCTTCTTGAACCTTCCTTTGAATCCTTCCAGTGAATTTTTCATTTC